TAATGTTTTCATTTTTAGAAAGTTTAAAAAAGTCATATGAATTCAAGTGCTTCTCACTGATGGGTTATTGATCAAACAAATTTTATGTCAGAGAATCATCACAAATAAAAGACATTTAATGTCGGAAAACAAAACTGGTTATTTCGATTTTTTTAAATGCAGTTTTCTTAAGAGCAAAACCAAAAAATAAATAAACAAACAAAAAAATCTAAGTAATAGATTGCTGACAGAGCTTGTTCATTTTCTTGAAGAACTTTATTAACACCAGGCAAATTTTAACACATAATATAGTCCAATATAAAACGGTATATATTTACAAGCTATATTTAATAAAAAAAAAGTATAAAAATACTTTACATATAAGCATAGATTAAAAGTTATAAAACAAAAATATGTACATTTGGCATAAATGAGTAACTAGCTGATATTACATTCACAGATCTCTTTTTATATAAGCATTGATCAGTTTTTTCTGTACTTTTTTATTGCTAATCAAAACTTTTGGAATATTCTCTCAAAACAGACATTTATATTTGCATCACAATTACAGGTTTGACAAATAACAGAAGGATGTATCTGGTTTCAGCAGGATGGGACATAAAGGCAGAGCTCTGATTGTCAACCCAATAAGATCAAAAGATATCAATTGCTACTATAAATTTTTTGATTCAAGCTGAATGACAACAATTGGATTTAAAAAATACCTAAGTAAAACAATTGTTCTATCTAGAATTAGTAATCCATGCAGAAGGTGGCTGTTGTTGAATGTTGAAGTAAATGATGGAACAAAATCTCCAGTCAACTTACAACACTCAGCATTACCTGTAATGTATCTGAATTCTTCTGAAAGCAATATGAACAAGTCAAGAGCTTCAGAGGGGGGGGGATAGAGTTTTAAAAAATTATACAAAAATGGCATTTGCATGATGTCAGCTTTACATAAGCTGAGTCAACAAGTATTATTTGAATACAGTAAACCTTAACTGCAGCCATGCTTTACTATGTTGTGCGGAATAAGGTTAAAAAGTTACACAAAAACGACATTTGCATATGTCCACTTTACATAAGCTGAGAGTCAAGAAGTATTATTTGAACACAGTAAACTTTAACTAGGGCCATGGTTTACTATCTTGTGCACACTGATAGGCAAATCTCAGTTTGAAAACTGCATATGAATGGTACATATCAAGCTTGGATTGGATGACTTAATTCAGGCAAACACACATGGGCTACTTTCATCTCAATTTTGACTTTAGCCATTGGAAGGGTGAAATCTGAGGGTCTCATTTTCTTCTTCCCCTGCCACCTGCTTTTGAGAGATACCTTAATATATCATGTGTTTGAAGTTTGATACAAATAGCATAATGTTCCTTATTTCTGTTTTTAAAGTTTGGGAAGAAATCATTAATGTCAATGACAAAGACTCTACACTGTGAATAAGTATTTTTAACACATCTGTACATTTAATATTATCGCAAAATGAAAGTTCAAAGAAATAATAAGGTGATATTACCTTTGCTGAGTGATAAAACAGCTGAACACCAGCAGTTTGACTAAGTTCAAATTCCAGTAAATAGGTTGGCTGTGTGGGAGATTTTGTGGTTTTTGCTCATATAATGCTAATACAGGCACAATTCCCTTAAAAATATTGTTCACTAAGGCACCTCTCATTTAGCATCTATTTATTTCTGAATAAAAGTTGATTACGAAAGAAAAAGCATCCAGATATTTTAACAAATAACATATTTCAAACCTGTAAGAATGTTTTAATATATATGTACATAATATAAGTATAGAACGACAATTCAAAATTTTGATGATTGCTACTTTGTACCATATATAAAAAATAGTACATCAAAATTAATAACTCAATAAATGATTAAAAGGGGGAAATATGGCATTTTGTGTATGATTTGTCTGATAAAAATACGTATGGTAATTCAGATGAGAATTTACATAACAATATGCAAGTTGAGTTAGAACATAAATATAATGATTCATATTCAATTTGATAAATATAATGATTCATATTCAATTTGAACATGAGTTAGATCATAAATATAATTATTCATATTCAATTTGAATACAAGTTAGATCATAAATACAATGATTCATATTCAAACAAAGTAAAATCCTCTTTGTATATTTCAAAAAGTTTTCTGTGTAATTCAGTGGATATATTTCTATAGTATGTTTGCATAACATTCCGTGTAGGTGTTTTTTTATAACTTTGTAATCTGTCAGGAAACTGAACATATTTTGATATACCAGTTTTTTCTAGGATATACTTTGCATCACTCTCTAGAGTCTCATATTTACCTACAAAGTCATAGTTTACATGGCAAGGAAAGCACAAATCAAATATAGGTCTCCAGTGTTCATTAAATGCTTTCTTCCAATCATCTACCTTCAGACTTGTAATGTACTGAATAAATTCAACAAATCTGACATCATGACCTTTTTCTAATGATTCTTCTGAAGGATTAACTCTAAATTTTTTTATTATTTCAGTTCCAAAACGAGTCCTAAAGTAATCCACATAACTTTCCTCTAATTTATTTCTATATGCAGACAGAATCCTTTCATATGGATGTCTAACAAAAAAAAATTTCCAATAATGTCTTAATTTCTGTTGAATTTCATCTGGTGAATACAGATTTAATGTCTGAAATGCATTTGCTTGGTGTGTTTCATTGCCACTTATGGATAGAGGATCTTTTGTTTCAGAATTCCGTAATGATAATAAGACTCTTTTCCAATTTGTACATGCAACCTGTAAAAAACAGATGGGGGAAAAAATCACATTCTGCAATACCTAAGAAACAAGTAATTATAACAAAGTATTATATTTTATAGTCTCAGTTTATAAATGTGCATTAAACCATTAACCATATAAATGTTACAGAATTGTATGTCTATAGAATAGCAATTGCACATACATGGTTTAATAAATAAAAAAATAAAAAAACTTTCATGCAAAACAAAATTTAAGGTATACTATAATACAATTCCATAATATATATACAGTCATTTGCAAAAGTTTAAGACTGGTAGCCGATTTTCAGTACTTTAACACATTTCATCCTTTTAACAGATTACTGCATTATCTCATAAGTTGATTGCATCTGACACACTCTACTGCAATAAATAAAATTAATACAGATTTCTACATAAAAGCACTTAACTGTGGCCATTTAAATGCCATTAATCTTTTCAACTACATTATACTTAACAAACATCTTTGGCCATTTGAGGTTCATTTTTTGAACAGCAATTTTCCAACATGACTATTTTCTACACATACTTTCTTGTACATACTGTATATATTTCACTGCTTTTCCTTTTGCATAGGTTTCTTTCATTTCCACTTTCTTGTATTTATATATCTTTGTTGAACTGTATTTTGCATATATTCATCATGGCATGATATTTCTTGTCAGCATTCTGACATATCCTTTATTCATACTTCTGTACATTTTCTGACTTGCCTTACGGTATTCATGGCTCATGGGTTTATGGCATATTGTTTTCTTTTCTCAATTTCCGATTTCTCATTGGAAACTCCTTTGCAGAATTACTTACACAAAGTGCTCTAGTAGCATTATATTATAGAGCCAGACATGATGCGCTTTGTATTACAATCCCTGTGAACAGAATAGATAGATTTATTACTAGTTGTCTATTGGATTTTGTCACAGACTGTGCTGTTGAGTTATTTTTGTAATGGGTAAAATCCTTCACTTACTTTTGTAAAAAGTGCAAAAATAATGACCCAGCTTAAAGTTGGCTTCGTTTCTTTCTCAATTTCCGTTTCAATATCATTTTCTTTTCTCAATTTCCGATTTCTCATTGGAAACTCCTTTGCAGAATTACTTACACAAAGTGCTCTAGTAGCATTATATTATAGAGCCAGACATGATGCGCTTTGTATTACAATCCCTGTGAACAGAATAGATAGATTTATTACTAGTTGTCTATTGGATTTTGTCACAGACTGTGCTGTTGAGTTATTTTTGTAATGGGTAAAATCCTTCACTTACTTTTGTAAAAAGTGCAAAAATAATGACCCAGCTTAAAGTTGGCTTTTCTGCACATGACAGTAGCAAGAAAGTTGATAGATACATAACTCCAACTGTGAAACATTCTCCACGCCAAATGATATGGGGTGCAATGTTTGGTAATGCTGCTCTGTTTTTTCTGCCACCTAAAACAACTATAAACGGAAGTTGGTACCTTAATTTGTTTCATGAGAAGCTGAAGCTTAACATGGATGTTCACAGATGATTAATTTTCATGCAGATTGGGCTCCGTGTCACAGGTCAAGGACTGTTAACCTTCCGCATACGGCGGCCATGATTTCCACAGGATATGAAATCAGTCTCGTAATACGGGTCCCGTGAAAATAGCATACGTTTAGTTTATTTCTCTTATTTTCAATATGTATCCCACCTTTTTCTCTGTGTAGGCTAAGAATACTGTAATAGTACTCATATTTTACATTTCATTTTGCACCTAGATGGCGCTACAGGTTTTATAGCATTGTAAGGGAGTACTATTGTTTCTTTGCTGCCAAACATGATCAATGCTGTTGCTTCTTTCATGCTTGGTGGGAACTGTATTGTCATTTACGCGGCAAACGAGTGCTTTATAGATTTGCCGGGTTGCAGTGATGTTTTACCTGTGACTAAAAAACAAAACTAAATTAATTATGAACATAGCAACAGTGATTCTGTACCTTCCATAAATTTGGAGAGTGATGATAATAATGAAAATAATCAGAAATCAGAAAGTCAAACCTTTGGAAACTTTAGCATGTAGGAATCCTTATTCTATTCTATTTATTTGGTAATCTTTCCAACTGTCCGAATAAATTATGCTATCATCTGCAATGCTTTCAATAGTTTTATTAAGAAGGGTAGAGCCAATTCTATTAGGAACAGTGACAATAAACGAATATTTTGTTTCTCTACATATACCACCAAACACACTCTTCGGGTAATATTTGACCACAATTATTTTTACACTTAGTAAACAAACTTTCATCAATTTCCACAATGCAATCTGGTCCACCTACCTTCTTGTTTGGTTTATTCTCCATATCCAAGACACATAATTCACGCATGTAATTGTTCCAATCTATAACAGTTTTATCCGATAAATCAAGTTGCTTTTCACAAAATTTAATCGACGTTAACTCCTAGCACTAGCAGTATATGAATCTCAAAGCTGAACAAAATGGAATTTGGCTTCCTTCAAACCAGTTGTCTTTTCTAAGTCCTTGCTGATCACACTGTCTTAAATTACATTTCCAAAATGTACATTTACCAAAATAAAGTTTCATATCATGCGAGTTGGTACATTTTCATTTTTTTGGTAAAATATTTCGCTTCTGAAAAAAATAAAATTGCATCTTCTGTGCTTGGCAAATCCCAAAGACGCATTTTCATACGACTAAAAAATTGTGCAAAAAATCAGCAAACAACAAGGCAAAAAGGAATCCAAAAGACAACTGCGTGTGAACTACAGGATTACTCTTTATTGGCGCATCGGCACAACTTCTGCAGCGGTGGTGTTAATACGTAAGTACCAAAATTCGGTACAAATTTAATTTTAAAAATTCTTTTTACTCTACCTGAAGGTGCAAACGGTAAAATTCCGAGATTTTTAGTTTTTTTCATTAACCCTCTGACTGCTCAATTTGTGGACCGAAATCGCTTCAAAAAATGTGTAATTTTTTTTTTTTTTCATATTTTAAATCTATATATATTGGAAAGTTGAAAAATGCACTTTTTCTTTCTAGAAAACACTTTTATATAGATTTTTATCATGAGAAACTAAGTTGCCAGAAAAACCAATTTCAGATGCTATCAAAAAAAAAAAAAAAAAAAAAAAAAAAAAAAAAAATAATAATAATAAATTTCAATCGAATTACAGTTAATTTATATTTATTACATAATATAAAAAAGTAAAATGTATAAATTTTAAGAAAATATGAAGCACTGAGGAAAAAATACCTTAGAAATGCAGTTTAGTACGATAGAGTTCAAAACAGGGTTCAAGGCAAAGTCCAACTTCACAGTCTTCGCGCCAGATTCAATAAATCTAATTAATAATCAATTTAATTATAAATCTAATCAATAAATCGAACTAATATTCAACAATTTTATTAAATAATCAAAATAATCGCTGAATGTTTTCTAGCAGCCATTTCTGTAAGAAAAATGCGGCAAAAAGTGAAGTTTGAGCTGTAATAGCAAGTACCTTCAAATCCCGCGATTTAGTGGACAACTAACGATATATGTTGGCCAAAACGTAAACTATACGTCAAATACTGTATATAATTTATTTCGATGGTTAAACGGGATGCGCTCCTCAATAAAGGAAGAAAAAGACATGCCCGCGGAAATCGCGGGATGAGCAGATTTTGCTACATTTGAGTTGCCTATGGAAATCGCGGGATGAGCAGCCAGAGAGTTAAGCAATATTTGTAAAAAAATTTTTTCAACATTATATTAAAAAAAAAAAAAAAAAAAATCTGAAAGCTTTCAGAATTTATACACCCAAAGGGGCTTTTTTTTTAACGGTTTGTATGTTACTTTTATTTATTAAATATCATGTTCTTCGCACTTAACCACACAAAATTCAATCCAACAGCAATATCACAAAATACAGTCAAAAGTCGTTAATCCGGACTCGTCGGGACTTCGGCAATTCCGGATTATAGATCATCAGTTTAAATCTCGTAAGATGGCACGCAGAAATTCTAAAATTAAAAATATGAAACCGTAATTTATGAAATAAAGAACAATTATGATCTAAAGGGTATCAAAATTTGCAAAAAGAAAAAGCTTAATATTTATTTGTTTACTTTATTAAACATTTCTTTCAATGTAAGTTGTTTAAGTTTTGCTTCGTTTCATGTGATAATACTTTCTCTTTAATTCTATTAAACAGACATAATTTCTTGTTCAGTTACAAAGTTCCGCCGTTCAAGTCCTATAATTGCTGTGTCAAGAACACCGACTAATTTGTCAATCGAAATTTTTTTTTTTTTCAATAACCTCTGTCACTTTTCTTCGCTATCGGAAGCGAATTATAATGACGAGGAACTTGTTTTAAATCATATCAAAGACGGAGCATATCGAGATGAAATACTACATTTGGTAAGGAATTATAAGCCAAATAAAATAAAAACATCTGCGCTAGAGATAAAGATAGTGCTGACAAATCAACTTCCAATTCATTACGCGCCCGCCGCCGAGCAGCGTGAAATTGATAAACAGATTTCGGATTTCAAAACATACTTTCGCTTTAGATCCTTTACATATTAACAAATATATATCGGAAATTCTATTTGATATAATCGAAAGTTTAAGCTTACTTTTATAAAATTGCTCTTACAGTCTGCAAAAAATAATAAGCCGGATGCAATTCGAAAATTAAGGAACAACGCAATCATCAACATTAACTGAAATAGATAATTATTTAGCTTATACGTCCATTATACATAAAATGCGCACGCGAAAACGTATTCTGCACTTGCGCACACTCATATGCGCAGTCGTAAAAGGTCTTACGCGCACGCGTGAACGCCTCTGCGCATGTGTCAACGCGGCGCATGCGCAGAAAGTTTTTAGTTTTGATGTCCGGATTATAGATCATTCCGAATTATGGGTGTCCGAATTAACGACTTTTGACTGTATTTAAAAATAACATATCTTTAGAATTTCTGATAGACAGTCTTGTGCACTGGAGATATTTTTTCCCCCACATACGTCGCTTTGCTTGCTTTGAAATCAATGAGTTTGTTAATGAAAAATTTGTTAGTTAATAAAAAATAAGTTTTACAAAATATGAAATAGATAATAAAACAAATTAAAAATTCGGGCTTCCAGGTGCCAATATTCGGGTGGAGGATTACATTATTCAAAATTTCATGGCTCCAGGTACCATCATTTTTTCACAATGTGAGATTCATGCAGATTCTTCATAATTTAATTTCTCTTTAAATATAATACAGGGTGATAATATTTGGTGGCAACAATTTAAAAACTGAAACACCGCTTATAGTGAACCGACACAAAATGCCGTTTCAAGACAAATAGCCTTTCTGGGCTAACACTCCTTTGAGCTAAAAATGTAAACTTAATTTTTTTTAAAAAAAATATTTCAAAGTGCATCTTCACTGTTTATGCAGCATATGTTCCAAATTCCATAGCTCTGGACTTATCATCTTTTGTGCTGTGCAAAACGGGCTCAAATATTCATAGATTTTTCATTTTATTATAATAGAAAATGGCATTCCTCTTTGATTTTTTAACTGGCTTTGGATTGACCATGAGTTTGAGTTAATCACGGATTTAATCTTCAGTATTACTTGTTAACCGGAAGCTGACTGTACCCTGTAATTTTTATACTCAAGATAGATTTTTAACTTCATTAAGTAATATCAGATTTTATATCTTTTATCTTGCAGAAATTACATATTTTAGCCCCCTCAAGAAAATAATAATAATATGTTCAAAATAGATTCAGAAGAAGAAGGATATAAACACTGCTTGACATTGAAAATGCAACATCAAGAAGGAATGGTCAGAAAGTGATGAAATTTGGAAAAAAGACAGAGACAGCAAGCAGCAATAAGTGATATTTATTTCAAAATGATAGTCAGAATACAGAGCGAGAACAGTGTTGGCTCAGTAGGATGTAGGACCACCGCAGACAGCGATGCACGAAGAAACACGTCTACGCATAGAATCAATAAGAACGCGGATGGTGTCCTGATGGATGGCTCTCCATTCTCTTTCAACCATTTGCCACAGTTCCTCTTCTGAACGAGGCAGGGGCAGAGTGTCTGCAAACGGCGTCCGATCACATCCCACACATGTTCGATTGGTGACAGGACAGGAGAGTATGGTGGTCAGGGAAGCAACTGTATACCTTGCAGAGCATGTTGGCAGATGCGAACACTGTGTGGTCGGGCATTATATTGCTGAAAAATTGCATTAGGCAGCTCCTGAAGGTAGGAGACTGCTACTGGCTGCAGTACATTATCCAAGTATCGTTGGGCCATCATAGTACCCTGAATATGAACTAGAAGTGATCTGGAATCGTAGACAATAGTGCCCCAAACCATTATGCCACGTGCTTGCACGGTGGGGCATTCCACAGTTACTGCCGGATTAGATCTGTCTCCACGTCGATGCCACACACGCATGCGGCGACTGTCACTGGATAAACAGAAGCGTGACTCATCTGAGAACACAACATTTCGTCATCTACATCGCTCCAGTCCGGCACCATTATAAACGTTGGCGTCTATGCTGTGGGGTCAATGGCAATCTTCTTAATGGATGCCGTGAGTGCAGGCCACTTTCAACCAATCGACAGGAAATGGTTCTGGTCGACACAAGAACATCCACGGTATCTTGCACATGCTGCAGAATCGAGTACGAGTGACTTGCGGGACCGCCACAGCTTATCGGCGGATGAGTTGATCCACGCGTGCTGACTTCACTCTGGCTGCACCTGCACCCTTCCTTCTTCCCACATTTCCTTGTTCCAAACATGTTCACCATAGCCGATGCACCGTGCTCGCATCCATGTACGTATCAGCTGCAATTTGACGTAAGGACCAACCCGCCCTTCTCAGTCTGATCACCATACCCCTCTTAAAATCGTCTATCTGCTGTTGCTCCGTTTTAAACAATTGTATTTTTATTAAATTAATATTTTAATATTTTGAGAAAATGTATATTATGTAATAATTGTTACTAAATTTAAGTATGAAACACACCCACAAAAATTTTTACATGTTTTTTTTAATTTTTTTTATTACAGTTTCTTTTTGTAAAGCACAAGTGTCCCATCACTTTTGTGAGACACTGTCATAAATTTCTGATCACTCCTTTTTGGTGTTGCATTTTCAATGTCGAGCAGTGTACATTGAAAAGATACATAATATAAACATTTAAAAGAGATTTAAAAGAAAAAATAATTTATATTTTAAAACAATAATGTTATTTGATTTTACCTTGGGTACAAAGCAATAAATTAATTTATTCGCATCATCCACAATAAAATGATCCAAATAGGCAGGTTGAATATCTGCAATACTCTGGTTTATTTTTAAAAATTTGCATGTCTGGTCAATAATTTTCTTCCTTCTCTTTTGTTCAAAATCAAAGTTATAAGACTGAAATTTGACAAAGTCGAATATAAGTACATAACAAATTATAGAATAATTATATTTATAAATTTAAAAAATGTATGCCAACTGAAAAATTAAAGTTTTAAAAACATATTTTAAAAGGACATAAATATTCATAATGAAGTTACATAAATATACCTTCAAGAAAATATGCCACATTAAATTGCATAGTCCAAATTACATTAATCATTAGCAAATTGTCTTCACTTAAAAAAGAATTAACTAATTCAGGTAGGAAACAGAAATTATAAAATTTATGGGTACTTTCTGATTATTCACACACATACTGAAAGCTGGCAAACTCAATGAACAAAAACAAATGATAATCCGTCTAGCTTCTGTAAGACTAAAGTCTGTTTCTTGGTTTGCTTTGTAGGGCATTGAACAGAGAGCTGTTATATATGAAATGAATATTTGGCTTTGACCCACAGGGCTAACTGAGCAGTAGATTAAGGCTTTTCAGCATTTCAAAGCAAATGATAATAGGATTGATGTATTTTTTTTCCTTCTTCAAAAGTATTTTGCTCCTTAATATTCTGTAATAATTTTCAATAAGTTTCTTACAAGTTTCACTCTTTACATGTTTCCAAGCAATAACGAAAACTGCTTTTATATGACTTGAACTTATAATTTCTTCAACACTACAGGCATAACTTGATAAATTTTGCTCAATGAATGTTGATATTTGTACTTAAAAATCCTCTCATACTTTTATAACTGTGTTAGGTGTGTTATATTTTTGGAAAGAATGTAGAAGTCAGAGAAATAGCCCTACAGTTGTTCAAGACAGAAAGGTCCTTAGCAGAAAACCAAGGAGTCCCAAAAGGGAAAGTCCATTTTTAAAATTATTTTATTATCTGTTATACATACCTTAAAAAAAAAAAAAAAAAAAAAAAAAAAAAAAAAAAAAAAAAGACTTTGAAGCAATTTCCGGATGTTTCTAAATAGTGCTACTAAATGACATGTTTGCACTGCCCTCAGACAGCATATAGGTTGAGGACATGTATCGCAGATTGTCAAATAAGTTCAACCACTGAATGCCAGATTATTGAACTTCTACCATATAAAGATATAATGAAATTAAGCATATACGATCATTCTAATAAGAACATCTCTTATGCAGTTATTAAACAAATGCATGAGAAATCTGTACTTACCAATATTTTTGACTTCTCAAGATTTTTACTTAGATCAGCTAAAACAATAAAAAATATTTTTTTTTCTCAGTTATGACTTAGCACTGAATAAATAAATACAATACTTAACATTGCCAAATGACAAAATTAAACTTTTAAATTAAAATAAACGAATTCAAAATGAAAGAATTCCCACTTTGAAAGCTCTAGGTTTAGTTTGCATATTTCTTTTCAGAATGTAAAATGTTATAAATTGAAAAAGTAATGCGCCTTAAGATCACCGAATGTGGCGATATGTGTTTTGCACTGGTTTTTTGCACGACTGCATGTTGTATCGCAACCCTTTTGACATTGAACACTCTTTTGCTAAATCAATGGTTCGTATTTTGAAATGGCCAATGTTGCAATGAGAGATGTGGTTGCAAGAGAGTCTGGGAGATTATTTTTAGTGGCTGTGCATGATACAAGTAAGGAAATGCTGATGTAGTGTATTAAAGAGTGGATTGAGCCTTGTACGACTATTTTTTCGGATGGCTGGAAAACTTACAGGGATTTAGGAAAAGAAGGTTTTGAACATTTATTTGTGAACCATAGTATGAATTTTCTGGATAATGTGTCTGTCAGTCATATAAATACGATAGTGAATACGTGGCGGCATGTTAAAGGCAGCATGAAATTTGTATTTCTGCTGTTCGAAAAAGTATTCATTCATGGTAAGTTCTTGTTCTTATTTTGTAGAATGTTATGTTCATTGTTCTTTTAGTATGAATTTCTGTCGTTATTATTATTTTTTTTTAATTGTTTGAAATTTATTTTAGTTAGTTTATTTTGTTGATTAGTGCATAGTGCCTAGATTGTGCAATTCGAAGATGTTTTTTAAAGTTGAAACAGAATGCTGTGTACATGGTAGTCTTTGAAATTTATTATTGTTATGTTAATTTATTAAAGCGAGGTGTGTGTAGTTCATAGATTCTTTCGCTGCTTAGATTGTGCAATTCGTAGATTTTTTTTAGAGTTAAAACATATTGCATGTATTCATATCGTGTACATGGATTCTTGTCAAATATTTTTGGTTAGAAACTATGTTTTTGCTATCTAATTTTTTTTTTTTTTTTTTTTTTTTTAATTTTAGCTTAAATTGTGTGTTCAAAATGTGGTTTCTGCAAGTGCAAAAACTGCATTTTTGGTGACATTTTAGGCTTAAAGTTCAAAATGTAGACAAAAATTTATATAGTAATATGGCACCTCGGTGGCAAGAAATTTGGTGACTTGAGGGTGCATGTAAGAGTAGTTCCAAATAATGCAAAGCATATTTCCATTTGAGAATTTTACTGGTACTTACATATTATCCATCGGCCATGAAAGCCATCAAATCACGAAAGTTAACAGATATCCCGTCAAAGCTGTGTTGAACTTTCCCGCAGAATTCCGAACCACACTTACATTTCTACTCTTACAATAAAACATTTATCAGTCTCTATGCACAATCCACCACATAATCATTGTTGCAAAAGTATTCGACACACTTTGATTTTGCACTTCGTAAACTTACTTTCCTAAACTGCTACTGTTTTGTTAGGCCCACTAGTTTTACTAGAAGCTCTATTTAGAGTGGTATGAGCCCCAGTGGTGATTGTTCTAATCTACTGTTATTCTGTCAGCCATATCCAGATGTTCTACTCCACATTCTCTAATTTTCTCAACCAACTGTAAATGAACTGAGTACAATCAAAAAAGTGATTGAACAGCCATCAAATTCACTTTTTCAGAATGTAAGAAAAAATACAGTAATAAAAATTAATGTATATGTTTAAAAAAAAAAATAAACTAACACTACTCAGAGCCATCTGTAGACTGACCTATCAACTGAAATGCCAACAAGATAGGAGGACTAATGGTTGCAAGGGAGAAAAGATTTTGTGAAAAAAAAAAAAATTAGTTCCAAAATTCACTACAAGGAGGAAATGCAGCACTCTTGTAATCTGCACAGCTTAGAATTAGATAAAGGAATAAAAAAGAAATTTCAGTGCAACATTAAATGTTACAAATGAACTGTCACAAAGGTTTATAGAGACTATTTTTTCAGTATACCATAGCCTTTTATTAAAACACTTCCTCAATAAGGGCATAGACCTCTATGTGACTACCCTTCTTGTCTTCATACACTGCATAATGTATGCAACATTCTCAATGGCTAAATGTAACATCTCACCAGGAATGCTCTGTATAGCACAGGATATTGTTGCGTTTTTCTTTTCTTTCTTCTGACACCAATTGTTACGTTATTTTCTTTCTTCACGTTCATACGGGGTTTGTAGATTTGGAGTGAATAACGACGACACTTGATGAAGTATCGAAACACACTTTATTTACCAGTATTGTCAGGACAGCTCCAGAACTTGTTTTACAGTCGTCGATGAACTACTATTAACATGCTGTCAGCGACACAGCCTTCAGGTTATCAGGCTATCACGGTGGCGACAGCTTCCTGCAAAGCACCCGACTGCTTTCCGGAGTACAGCCAGTACCTCCTACATACAAAGCCAAGGCTCTAGGGTTGCTTGAACGTTCTGACGTCACAAAAGTCGTCTCTCCACTATCCTCATCCTGATATTTTACATGCTGTTATATATAATTTTATTGTTGTGAAGAAACTAATTTCAGATGAATATGAGCAAAAATTTTTATTTTCGGCTAATCCACGAGATACAGTGTGTAAAATTACTTTAAATTTACTTCATGAAAATTTTTTTTGGAACTGAATGACTGTGCAAAACTTCATAACCCTCAGATTATTTTGAAAAATATCATACAATCATCAACAAATATTTTTCTAAATAATTACTGCAAAAAGTTAAATGATAATCTTTTAAGCAATAATTTAACTAAGCAACGGAAATTGAAAACATTAAAAAAATAGTTTATGTATGTAGCAGAAATGAAATATGTTATGTGTTTAAGGTACAAAATAAGATAAGTGAAACTAACCTATTTTTTCTTAATATTTTCAGACTTGTAATTCATTTTTTTAAATGAATATTTTCTGCAGAATGTGTATAATATGTTGAATAAAAAAGTGCTTTTTCTATTTGTGTTGTGAAATCTTTGCCACCTATTCCAAAATGCATGCACGCTTACACAAAAAAAAAAAAAAAAAAAAAAAAAAAAAAAGAGGGAAATATTTGCAATTATCATAGAAAAGTGCTAAAGCTCTAAGGTCTGTTATATAATATACTAAGCTTTTTCATCATAAACTAAAGAGTATTCATTTTTGAAGATAAAATACTTTGTCAATTAATATTACTTTCGTTTATATTTTAAAATCAATATCTTGAAATTTCTAATCTTATTTTAATTGAAACAGATGTGTTTGTTACATTAATTTTAAACTGTAAGAAGGAAGTATGTACAATTTGTAGTCAAATACAATTCCAGATGACTAATTTTTATAGATATTTACTAATATATTATTGTTCATATATTCTATGTTTAATTCTGTCAAAGAAATATAGTTGCACATATACAGGGAAAAATGCATCTGATAACTCTATAAAAAATAAACTAGAATAAAAAAGTACTTTCATTTCTTCCCAGCTGTAAGGCCTCATACATTTGTACTAAGTTATTTTTTCTCAAAGGGATTTACTGTAATAAAAAGTAAGTAGCATGAAGTTGCCTAAATAAACATTTACTCCCCTTTTCTCACTATAATACATGGTGTCATTTCCTATTATTTCTAGTTATAATTGTACTGGTAGAAAAATTTCAGGTAAAAAATAAGTCTTTTTTTAATGCATTTTTTGCACCCTAGTTGTGCTACTTTCTTAATAAAGATCTGAAATTATTCTGAAAATTTTAAATCTTACCTTAACACTAAACTCCTTATTCCTTACAATTCTAAAAATTCAGGGCATTTGATCTATTTAGATGTTTTAAAAGTTTCTGCTGATTATCCTGATAAAAAAAATTCCAGTAAGTGCATATCAATTATACAACTTCATATTTATCATTTGCTAAAAAATTCTTAGATAAGTTACAATTAAATGATTTTTAGGAACAAAAATTTACTAGTTACAAGAAAATTATATATGTACATATTAAACAAAAGGGATGTTACAGACATTAAATGATAAGAATGAAACTTGAGAATTTTGAATTCCAAACAAGTGTAAAGTTTGTTGAATTTTTGCAATTTTCCTTTTTCGTTATTGAGAAAGATGCAATTACATATTCTTCAAAAATAGGAATCTAATTGAAAAAAGCTTAAATAGTATTAAATATTAGCGCCTATATTGAAAATTAACACTGAATAAATACCAATATATGCTCAAAAACAGTATTTTTCATATTGCTCAAAAATAGTATTCAAATCATACTCCAGGTTTATTATAGGTTACAAAATTCAATCCTTCAGTGAAGTGAAGTGAACAAGATCAAAACCGGAAAATTACTAAACAAATACGTGTAAATAGCAAATGTTAAACTGATATTGCAAAAATAAAACACGATTAATAAATTTAGGATTAGGGATTTTTAGTTTTAATCAACTGTTAACTTGTCATTATGCATTATTGTTGCCTTTTTACTAAGGAAGAGGATATTTAGTAAAATATATATTCAAAAAACAAACTAGCAACAGCCAGATCTTACACATGTATTTTATTACCACCGTCTGAAGTATGTTAAATCAATTTCTGTTCTGTGTAAAATTATTTAAGAAAAGTTAAGATACGTATTTGAAATTAGGAAATGCAGTCGATGAAGGGCAAATCAGATATACATATTTATTTATTTAAAACCAAATGATATAAGCCTTCTGCAGGGGGGACTACATTTCATTTTCTCGTCTTAAGGGAATAACAGCGATAAGTGGCTTCATGTGACAACCATTCTCTCTGTAGATAAGGACGACTTTAGTGACGTAGTGTCAGCTGTGCCGTGGCTTTGTATGTAGAAGGTGCTGGTACAGCTCCCGACTCTGCTTCGTCGTTCTTGGAACTCCACATGCTCTCGAGACTCTCAACACTACAACTCGCGATGCACTCGACGACACACAAGC